AAGTAGTTCACGAAAACTACAAATCGTACTTTCCTCGCTCAAAAAATTATAAAATTGTCTATATCTCTGTTTGGAAACTGTAAGGAGTAACTTTGCACTAAATTCCATGTAAATTGGATCAAAACAAGGCAAAGTAACTGACCCAAACCTCTAAAATTATGGGTTTATTTTACATTTTGCCCCCCCTAAAATAACCAAAAATGGACATATCTCACATTTTTCTGTGTATGTATGGTACCTATAAAAAGTATCTTTCTATCAAATCCCGTGTAAATTGTCCAAAATACGGTGCAGTAATAGTAAAAAAAAACCTTACCCCCCCTATAATTACTGAAAATGGGCAAGTCCACCATTTTTGTTTGTCAACAAGTGTAACCTGTAAAAAAGTATCTTTGTACCAAATCCCATGTAACTTGGTCAAAATATGGCTGAGTAACTGACCAAAAGCCCCAAAATTATGCTTTTTTTGTGAAGTCTGACCCATTTAAAAAAAAACTAAAAATTGGAAAAATCAACTTGTCGGTGACATGAAATTTATATTAGTGCCAATTTTGATTGCTGTAAATATAACTGCACAGGAGCCCAAAATATACATTTTGGGATTGTTTGACTCTTCACCCTAAAATCCTTAAAATGGCCTAAATCAAGAAAACGAAAAATGTGTCTGGGCGTATTGGACAAAAATATAACTCTACCAAGTTCAAGTCAATTCGTCAAGAAATCGCAGTCAATTGAAAAGTGTTTGAAAGAAGAAGAATAAAAAATAGAAAAACAGTACAGTGGAGACACAAATATCATCCATTCTACATTGGGTATGGTTTTAAAATTCTGTAAAGTAGAGGGAGAAACTAAGAAGTACTTGAAACATGTGTCTTATAAAATTATTTCAGTAAATAAACTCACTGCTTCATTGACTGAATTATACTCTCAACAGCTTTATCTGTTTCTAAGTCGCTGATGTCAACAAATAACTGCCCCTGATCAACTGTTCTGGGTTTTGGTAAAAGAGGGTGACTCAGTGTTCTTCCTTCTACATCAATGAGGAATGCGTAGCTGGTGTCTGCTAATTGAGAAAAAGATACACCTTGGAAGAGTGTTTCCATAAAGACATCCAATGCCACAACCCCTTGGAAAGAACCATTCACAAGTAATGGAACAGACACAGTCATCACAATCCCTAGAAATAAAGATCGTACTTGTAGTATTTTTAAAATTATGAAATAAGTCCAAAATCAAATTAATTCATTTTAAGATTACAAACTTAATCAGATAAAAGTAATACGAACAAAATACACGACTCTACAAAGTAATCAGATGTTCTTTTATAAACCTACAAAATTTTAAGTAAAATTTATCAAAAAAAAGGAGAAATAATATTATAATACACATTCTCTTTGTCTCTCACTATCTCCTTCCAATGTTTGGGTTGAAGCATCCCCAAGATCAACCGAGATAGTAAACCCAACCCAAGGTTAGTTAAACGCATCACACACATCTACCTTAATATTCATTAGAATGTTCGTGATAGGCTAACAGCAAGTGCATAACATAATCTTATTATAATGCACATTTGGGGTGAGATATTAAAGACAAAAGTAAATATTCAAAAATTAATATTTTATTTGTGTCTCATTTCCACCATGCCCAGTTTTCGTATCTCCCACATACTCCCGAATTACCACCCATAGGGTGGGTATACCTGCTAGTACTATTAACGGCATAAAGTAATGCACTTATGAAAAGTAATCGTCATTTTTAAGAGTTCATTAACATAAGAACTGTGAGTACGTACCTGCACCCAAGTTGTCTACATAGGGCAAACTCCACTGGGGATTAATGTTCTTGGGATACCGAAAAATCTGGACCAACTTTGTCACTACCTGGTCATAGTCTGTAAAAACAAGTAACTCTCCAGATCTCCGTTCTCCAAGTGTTGAATTAATAAATGTTTGATTAGCAAGAGACCCAAGTGTGTTTCTGCTTTCATTTGAAACTGAAAAAAAGGATTCACATTCAGTCAACTACTCGGTATCATGACATTCACTTTCATGAACAAAAAAAAAAAATTCATGAAAGTGTTCTATATCATAGATTGTTTTGAAAAAAAAGATGCATTTGAAACCCGAATATTTGATGGTCTTTTAACACACAATAAACTTATTAATGTTGGTTGAAAGTTTCTGTCAAGAGCTTTAATAATACAGTTTTCAGATACAATGTTTACAGTTAATTATCTTCAGATACTGACTAATTATTTAAAATTACAAGAATGAGAAACTGAGTGTCTCCTGTTTCTTGAACTAAATATCTATAAGTTTTAAATCCCACTAGGATTTTCTAGCATAAACTTTAACATGAACAAGCCTACAAGTAAAGCAAGATACTCTGCTAGAAAATCCTAGTGGGATTTAAAACTTATAGATATTTAGTTTCAGAGTATCTTTCTTTACTTGTAGGCTTGTTCATGTTAAAGTTTATGAGACTGAAACTTGAACCTAGGAACTCTGTGTAACAGGGCTACTGCTCTGAGTTATCCAACAGTACAAGTTGTTACGATATCTTTAAGTTACACGTGTTGTACGAGTTGTTACAATGTCTTTAAATTACATGTGTTGTACAAGTTGTTACGATGTCTTTAAGTTACACGTGTTGTACAAGTTGTTGCGATGTCTTTAAGTTACATGTGTTGTACAAGTTGTTACGATGTCTTTAAGTTACATGTGTTGTACAAGTTGTTATGATGTCTTTAAGTTACATGTGTTGTACAAGTTGTTACAATGTCTTTAAATTACACGTGTTGTACAAGTTGTTGCGATATCTTTAAGTTACATGTGTTGTACAAGTTGTTACGATGTCTTTAAGTTACACGTGTTGTACAAGTTGTTACGATGTCTTTAGGTTACACGTGTTGTACAAGTTGTTGCGATGTCTTTAAGTTACATGTGTTGTACAAGTTGTTACCATGTCTTCCAGCTTACCTACTCCTACACCACAGGAATAGAAAACAACTTTGTTCCCCATTTCACCATTCTGGCTTTCAATAAAATCTTTTGGGAGATTTTGAGGTTCTCCATCAGAAATAAGGAAGATGAGACAATCTGAAAAAAAAACAGAAAAGAAAAAACAGTTAAAATAAACTAACATGTAGTAAAAAAATTAGAATTTAGATTTTCAACGATTTCTGAAGCAAAATAATATTAAAACAACTCTACTTATTAAAACTGAAAATCATATTTCAACATCAAAGAAACAAAACTGGTATTTTACTGTTGAACACTTTAATATTATAAGAATAGTTTGAGAATAAGGATCATATCCATGATTGGTAATTTGCAATTAGACAAATGTCTAATTTGTCAGTGAACCTTTGGAAATGGAAATAGTCTTAGCATTACAATTGAAATTATGAAATTTTAAGTTCTGATTATTATTAAAAAAAAGAACTTCCATTGACGATAAAGAAATACGAATAAAACGACATCAGACCTTTAAAATCTGCCCAGAATATAATGGCAAACAAGTGAACTTATACCCACTTGTTAAATTTTAAAATACTTTCTTGTATCTCTTGAAACTTCTTAGACTATTTTAAGTTCCAGAAAACATACGCATATCCATTTCTTAAGGCATATAACTATTTCATACATAATAATCGATATACTAATCACAGTTTGGTTAATACTTGTTAGAGAATGTTTCAAATTTGACATTGAAATAATAGACAGGTAGTACATTTTCAAGAAAGGATAATAGTAACGGCAAGACTTACACTTGTCTGAGAGAAAACCTAGTTTTACCTGTTATTTTCCATTATGAGTAGTACAAGATATTTTGAATCAAAATGTTTGAGCTTGTGACGTTGTCAGTTGTATATGAAATTTACACAGTAGCTTAAACATTATAACAAATACAGTCTTGAGTATCCAGTGTTTTGTGCAGACTGAAATAGTTAGAAAATCATAAAGTGTTATAAATATTTCTTTAACATTGTTTCAGTAAAAGGAGCAAAATAAGATGCTCGAAAAGGCAGTCTGAAGTATACCAGAAGGTGGCAGAAAGTAGCCCCCAAGTGGTGAAACCTTGCACCATCATTTGTAGTAAACTTGTGACTGAAAGAAGGTCATGAAGGAGAGACAATAAAGAAACAATATGAATGGCCAGAACAGAAGGTTTGTATTACCTAATCTGGGTCAACATACTGACCACTGTCATGAGAATGTCAACAGAGGGCAGCGTGGCTAAATAACACAGATATAATGAGGCCTATGAGCCAAACAGTTCATGGCCACCGAGGATACATGATCTACCACAGTGTGTAATTATTGTTTGTATATTCTCTTAAAATAATTAACTTTTTATTTTATCTACTCAAATAAATATTACGATAAAAAATAGCACATATTCTCCATTACAAAAATGTCCGTTATTCCTATCACATCGTGACAGACAGCCATCATACCCACTTAAGAGGTTAAGATAGTTTTTTTATGAGGAAAAAATGACGTAACCAGTTGGTTATGAACACCGACCTTTCAAAATTAGCAACAGCACTCTGCTTGGATGGCTTAAGAGACTAATCAACCATTACACCAAGATCCTATTTTTTATGACACTTTCGAAACATCGTCCTCTACACTTGTGTTTCTACAACAGGCAGTTATCGTCCATTCAACAAAGTTTCATCATGAATACTCTGCCTAAACAAAGAAGATCCAAATCCTTTTGTAAATTAGCAACATCCTCTTCACAGTTAGCAACACCAAAGACTTTAATATCATCAGAAAATTTAATTAATTTAATGACCATTCCTTCATCGATGTCATAGATGTAAATCAAAAAGAGCAAAGGTCCTAAGACTGAGCCCTGAGACTCCTCATACTGATAATTCAGTGCTGCCTACGCTTCAGTGAAGAGGTACTGTTGCCCATAAACACCACCTAATAGTTGTAATGATGATTATATTAGGTAATGGATGGTAATACAATTACCGATAATAACTTTTTAATATAATAAATTAATTGATGCAAAAAAACTTATCAGTAATATCAAGATAATATATTATTGTCCCAACATATTCATACACGTTCCCACACATATAAAATTATGTCAAAAAAGAGTAAAGATCCCAAGACTAAACCCCGAGGTACCCCACTTGTCACATTAATCCAGTTCTACTCAACTCCATTTGTAACAATACTTTAATTTCTTTCATCCAGACACTCTTCTATCCAATTTGCTAACTTATCCACACACACACCTATAGAAATACTTTTTCACAAGCCTTTTATGTGGAACCCAGCCAAATGCTTCCTGTAAATCCAGATAAACCAAATCTACATAAGCAGTAATGTTTTCAAAGAATGTCATAAGATTTGTGAGAAAAGATTTTTCTTTAGTGAAACCATGTTGACTATTAAATAAAATTCTAAACTTTGTTAAATGGCTTTTCAAAGCATCTTTTATCAAACTTTCCAAAACTTTACCCACAACTGATGTAAGAATAATAGGCCAATAATTACTGAGACAATTTTTATCACCTCCCTTGAAAAGAGGAGTGATATTAGCTAACTTCCAATCCTCTGGTACCTGCTCACTATTTAAGGACTTACAAAAAATAGTAGGAAGTGACTCGCATATTCAGTTCTTAACCTCCTTTGAAAATATTATCTGGCCCAGGAGCCTTATTGTTCTTTAAACTTCCCAATTTTTTCTTAAAAAACTCAGAATTAATGTAGTCATCTTGTTTGATCTTGTTTCCATCTATCAACTGTTCAAGATGGAGAATACTGCTTAAATCTTTCTTAGTAAAATAACTCAGCCATCTCATACTCATCAGATACAGGCTTTCTTTTGCCATCCCTCAAGGGTCTTACCCCCATTCTAACATTTTGTTTAAATAAATCCTTACTGTTAATTTTTACATTTTTAGCCAATCATTTTTTCATACATCCTCTTTTATGTCCTAATTTCCTGTTTAACCAACTTTCTTGATCTTCTAAATCTCCTGTCTTACCAGTCAATTTAAATTTCTAAAATTTATGATGCATCCACGGTTCAGAGTACAATTTTGCATCACTGGGATGCAAACCCTTGCATTAACCACCAGGCTACTATCTTCATGTTCTAGCATCACATATTAACAAGTGGTAAGGTTTTCTTTGTTAACGATCTATTTTTGCATCTGTGTAAAGAGTTTGTTTTTCATTATGTAATGTTTGTTTTCTTACTGTTTAAATGGTATATAACAATGATATTGAATTCACTGCTCAAGGTTATTTTAGTATGGCACACTTGTATTCACTTGTGATGTATGCGTGACATGTTTTTTAAAGCCTTAATACGTTAACACAGTTCTCAGTTTAAATTGAAAGTTTATTGGTAGTAAAATGAAAGTCATATTGTTGGCTTGGGACAAGCCTGAGATAGGGTAGTCAAAAAAATGTGGTACATAAATATGTCACACATTTCTAGTTTCTTAAAGTGTTACAATATTTATTTTTTATTCTCAGTATGTGCAGGTATCGACTGTTAAGTTGATCTTGCTTCAAGTAACCTTTGTTCCTTTGTTTTTCTCAAAGTAAGTAACACCTATTACCACCTGGTGTGAACATTGCTTAATACGTTGTGTAAAAACAGCACTGTCCTTCAATGGTTGTATGGGTGATATCTATATGTTTTAATAAGAATCACCCGTAAAATGGTAGTGCATGTCACTCTAGATAAATGCAAGTTTCATTAGGCCATTTAGTTAGTCTGAAACTTCTAATTCAGCCAGTAAGTCTAGTCTAGCACTTGATCTTGGCCAAATAAATCTCAGAAAAGCCACCTGCAGTGAATGTCCAAAGTAAGTGCTCTGCAAGCACACACATAACTTGTGTTTGTGCTTAGTATGTTAATAAAGATTCTCCATTCTGCATATATCTATTGTTCAGTCTCATTATCTTATTTAACTGAGTTGATGTAAAATGAGAGTCTTAGTTATACTTTGTAATCAATACCTCAAATGAGTCTTGTTATTTTGCAAGCTTAGCCAATAGCTCAAGCATATACCCAGTTCATCTGAATATATCACAGTACTACTACTACAGTAGGTATCAAAAGTGTTGAACATCAACAGTCACTACACTTAACAGTGTGAAATCAGGTTTTTGTATACCAGTCACTACACTTAACAGTGTGAAATCAGGTTTTTGTATACCAGTCACTACACTTAACAGTGTGAAATCAGGTTTTTGTCTACCAGTCATTACACTTAACAGTGTGAAATCAGGTTTCTGTCTACCAGTCATTACACTTAACAGTGTGAAATCAGGTTTCTGTCTACCAGTCATTACACTTAACAGTGTGAAATCAGGTTTCTGTCTACCAGTCACTACACTTAACAGTGTGAAATCAGGTTTTTGTCTACCAGTTACTTCACTTAACAGTGTGAAATCAGGTTTTTGTCTACCAGTCACTTCACTTAACAGTGTGAAATCAGTTTTGTCTACCAGTTACTTCACTTAACAGTGTGAAATCAGGTTTTTGTCTACCAGTTACTTCACTTAACAGTGTGAAATCAGGTTTTTGTCTACCAGTTACTTCACTTAACAGTGTGAAATCAGGTTTTTGTCTACCAGTCACTTCACTTAACAGTGTGAAATCAGGTTTTGTCTACCAGTTACTTCACTTAACAGTGTGAAATCAGATTTTGTCTACCAGTTACTTCACTTAACAGTGTGAAATCAGGTTTTTGTCTACCAGTCACTTCACTTAACAGTGTGAAATCAGGTTTTTGTCTACCAGCCACAATGCCTAACAATATGACATAAGTTTTCTGTCTTTCAGTCACTAAATTTCACAGTGTGACATCAGGTTTCTGTCTACCAGTCACTACGCTTAAAAGTGTGATATCGGGTTAATACTGTAAAACAACAACAATTTCTATCATCTCAAGCCAAGAAAAGATACATTACAATTACAAAATGCTAAAAAACTGTTCACACGTTTTATAGGTAGCATGCATAGTATTTAATTTTTGTAGTGAATATTGGTCTATGTAAGGCATTTTAATACTTGTAATAAACGACCTTTTAACACTGATTGAAAATTTAAAGATGCTCTTCTCATTCAAAGACTACAACCAAAGAGGATGATACATGTAATTATATTTATTTTATTATTTCTGCAGCTTTTGTTTACTACAGGTAGCAGTTAATTACTGCAACAATAGAATTCTTTCAACAATAAGCTTTACTACTTAGCTATAGTATTGGGTCGAATCTATTGGTTAAACCAGTCAAAGCTTTGCACTGTCAGTTACAGTTTGTGTTTTAGTTGAACACTCCTGCAGAACTTGTAAAGCGAAACACTAGGTGTCCAATTAACGAAATATAACAAATTTGGTGTTATAAGGTCATTTACTATTAATATTAGGATGCAAGATACACTCCTGTAACAGAAATCCATTCCAATTTATTATTAATATTAGGATGCAAGATACACTCCTGTAACAGAAATCCATTCCAATTTATTATTAATATTAGGATGCAAGATACACTCCTGTAACAGAAATCCATTCCAATTTATTATTAATATTAGGATGCAAGATACACTCCTGTAACAGAAATCCATTCCAATTTATTATTAATATTAGGATGCAAGATACACTCCTGTAACAGAAATCCATTCCAATTTATTATTAATATTAGGATGCAAGATACACTCCTGTAACAGAAATCCATTCCAATTTATTATTAATATTAGGA